TTGCGAGTAGTTATAAAGTTTACAATTCTATTTAAGGATCGGCAATGCGAGTTGGCTAATTGTTCGTGCGTTTACATAACTCATTTGTCAAATTCGATGTATAATATGAGGTCCCAATCGGCGTTGGTCGGTAACGGCTACACTTAATGAGAGCTCTTATGTAACAATTTTACTTAAACTTTCTGTTCGCTTGATTGAATTTGTCTCGATAAGCAAGTGACCATGTACGAAGCTAATAATAGTAAAGTTTTCAAATCTGCTAATTTCTTTATTAATAAATTGCTTATTACTGCGGTTATAGCACGAGCTCTTTAAAGCATTTAAAGTATACTAAATTACAATGGCGTAAAATCTGGCAACACGTATGATTTATAAAATGAAAACCATAAAAAGAAAAGAAAGAAATAAAAAAAAAAAAAAAAAAAACAACAACAACAACAACAACGGGTAAGACAAGTAAATGTGTCTCAACCGGTATTAAGGAGATTAAGGAGTATTATTTATGAATTACTGGATTACAAAATCATCGAGATAAGTGTCAGCGAATGATGAAACGCTCGTATAGCCAATGGCAATTGAGGTTTAATATCTAAGGAGCCACACAAAGAAAGAGAAATCGGTGAAACCATAATAATAATGCCATACTATCATGAAGCGCCCGCGTAGCGAGAAAGGTTAAATGTAATTTAAAATTTAGAAAAGCGTTAGTGCCCCCTAACGTCCATTCCCATTCGCAATAAATAAATAATTCGTCAAATCGTTAAAATCGGCAAGTGTTCGACTGTCGAGCTTACAAAACATTTTTCCTAAAATTAAACTATCATCGCGGCAGCACTGCTTGGCAAGTTACGCACGCGTTCTCACGGGCGTGCTAACACACGCACGCACGCACGCACGCACAAACTTTCTGGCATTTCTTCATTCCGTTTGGTGTGCAATAAAGATTATTGCAGTTTCTTCATTAAAAATGAACCGGGCGAAAGAAATAATCAGCGAATGCTTTATGAAAACCCATAAATTACTCCCCCAGCTATCTCATTAAGCGCACCAATTGGAAATAAACAAACCAATGGAGCGGGAACAATGACACGGAGACAGTGGGGGGGGGGGGGAAAGCAGCGTTTAACGGTCCCCGCGAGCCGGAAATAAGATCATTGTCGCGTGAATATAAAAGAAAAGCCGAGCACCGTGGAGTGGACGAATGTCCGGAGCTCACGGCCCGTGTGGTCCGGCGGCTCGACCTTGTTGTCCGGGCCCACAAGCCTCCTCCGGTCTCCACGTATTCCCCGGAAGGTGAAGCTGTTGCTCCGGGGGAGGCCGCGCTGCCGGTGGCCGTTCCCAGGTAAATCGACTGCTAATGGCCGCGATAAAGCCGGCGCCCATAACGCCTCCGCTCTTCCGCTCGGGCGTAGCCAATGGTGTCGCCGCGCAACCTCCCCCGTGCCAATTTTCCATCCTCCACCCCCTCCCGCTCGCTGTACTCGTTTCGCAGGCAATGAAACCGTTAACGCGCGCGTCCGACCGTTTTCAACGGCTCGATCGATCGTAAATTCGCGAGCCGGCAGCCATTAGCTTTAATTGACGGCGACGGGGGGATGGCGCGGCGGGAGAGTGTATTCTGGCTAAATCGCGGGGCAGTAGCCAGATCTGACCTGATCTCTCACTCTCTCTCTCTCTCTCTCTCTCTCTCTGTGGGGGAGGGGGTAAGGCCCGCGAGGGGATGAGTGAGTGAGTGAGTGAGTGTGTGAGTGTGTGTGTGTGAGAGAGAGAGAGAGAGAGAGAGAGAGAGAGCAGTGGTTGTGGGTGGGGGCGTCGAGAAGGAAGTCGCCTTCCGCCCCGTCGCTCAAACGTTCTACCGTACGCCGGAATTTTCCTCGGCGATTACGGGTGCTTAATGCCGCGCTTTAACCGTTTGTCTCCCCGTGGAGGAATTAAAGCGACGTCGATGTAAACAGAATTTTTATTGTTCGATCGATCCGCCTCGCGCTATCGGCTTCGCTCGTTAAATCGCTTGCTTTACAATTTCAGCAAGTTATGAGCGCGCGCTCGCGACGGATAAGGTTATCACCTCGACTTTTGGCTTGCGACCGACGCCGCGACCTCTCATAATGCCTAAGCGCGACGGAGGAACGTTCCCTTCTCCGTTATCCGGCGTTTGACAGTGAGGGAGAGATCCGGATCGGGGCCCGAGATGAGGAAACGACGCGGTCGCGGACGCAACCCGGTTGCGATCGGGACACTTGGAAGCAGGGGACAGGTGATCCATGATGTAGTGGGGGTGAGAGTGGGAGTGAGATTGGGAGTTTGAGTGGGAACGGGAGAGGGTGGGGTAGAGAGAGAGAGAGAGAGAGAGAGAGAGCGAGAGAGAGAGAGAGAGAGAGCGAGTGAGATGGGAGCGAGAGAGGGGGTGAGGGGGTGTGGCAAAAAGGATGGCCTCGAGCGGCCCACGGGACGATGCGCCGCTTGTGGGATCCGTCGCTCGGTAAAAAATCCACGTATCCGGAGCGACGCGACGACGTCGACGACGGCGACGACAGGGTGGTCCGTCGCTCGCAGCACGCTCCCGTTTCCGACTCGATAAGAAATACGGCCTGGGAGCGCGAGCCTCGTCCCCTGCGAGGACGCACGCGACCACCCAGAATATTCTGTCACCAGCCGCGAGCCTCGGTGGCGGGAGGAGGACCCGGGCCTCGTAATTTGTTACCCACGAGTTCTCTCAGCCTCCCTCGGGTCCCTCCGCCCCAGCCTGTCGTTTTTCCATCCTCTTCTTTTGTTGGGTCTTTCCACTTAATGTGCCAGAGACAGCGCGTGAGGGATATAGAGAGTGAGAAATAGTGAGAACGGGAGAAGGGAGAGGTAAAGGACAAGGGCCTTCGAATATTTTGACAGTTCGTTGAAGAAAAGTTATCCAACTTGCTCGACCGACCTACGGGTTTTTATTTTTTTTCTTCTTTTTTTTTTCTTTTTCTTTTTTTTGTCTTCTTGATTTTTTCGTTTCGTTCCGTTTTGTTTTCTTTCTTGGTAAATGCACTTTTGCAGCAAGTGTTTTGACGTTGTTTGCGAGCCCTCATCACGCGCGAGATGTACACATTTGTACACAGAGTATTAAGCGTTCCTTTAAATGCTTCGTTATTGTACTTTTTTTTTTGTCTCTGTAATTTGTGAAAGGAATTTTAATGACTTATCCCTTGTATGAAAACGCAGAGAAAAATTACAGGTTAGATTCAACTTTAAATATCATGCGGATAATAAGATTGCCGGTGTAGAAAATGCGGCCTTGGTAGTTATTACATTACGCCTAGCATTTTCAAAAGTGCCTCTGCTTTCCGCGAATATTTAATTTCACGTCATTCAATGGACCTTTAACGCAATTATATCCGTTGTGCTATTGTAAATTCAATGTAAGGATTAAGTTGTTTCACGCGAACCATATTTGTCGGCTATTTTATCCACGTAGTTTACAAAACTCTTACCGATAATTTTATTTTACCCAGCTATAAGATGATATAAGAAATCGTGTTGATGAAAAATGCAAAACCTAATAGGATGATATTTTTATTTTGTAGCGCTGAATGATTATCGACGGGCCGACGGCTACTCGCTTACTGAATCTGCAAGTATCTCAATATCTCAATATTTTTTCGTTTCTATAAACATGATATTGGTAGTTAAATAGATTATCAGAATAATAATTGATTATGAGGCATAAGTGAGCACGAATTTATCTTAAAATTCATATAAATTTTACGTATAAGCTTCCGGAATACGTTATCAATACACATCGCATCAAGTATCCATATTTATCGACAGTTTGTATGTCAACTTAATTTAAAATTCATATCAACGTTTAAGTGAGAGTCAATCGAATGTTCGATATTTTTCGTTCTCTTTCTTTTGCAGTTCCTTCATATATATATATATATATATATATATATATATATATATATTTTCACCACAAAAATCTTGAATATTTTATATGTAAATTAAGTACCGAACAGATGAATATTCAGTAAACAATGTTTGACGATACTTTTCCAGTAGAATACCAATATTCTTTGTGTCGGATGTCTGTCTCTCTATAATCTCGATTAAATAATTTGATTTAATAGTCTTTATATATAAGAAGAATATAAATAATGTAAAAATTTAATTAATTACGGTATACAGGCAGTGCTAACTGGGATGTTCTATAATTATCATAGACTGTAAGAATTAAAAAATTATTAAAAAAAATTGTGTGTACCGTACGTAATAATGTTCATATTAATATATCGATAATCATGTAATATATATATATATATATATATATACACACACACACACACACACACAAATACTCAAAGATTATTCAAATTTAAATTGTAAATATATACATATTTCGAAATATCATTGTATACGTTATTTTTTATTTCTTTTTAATCTTTTTATTGCTTTTAACGAGTTGATCTTTCGTCGTCAAACAAAATTAAAAATAAGCTGTATAAGCTTGTCTCGTCTTTCTCCTCTATATTACCTAAGATGCTGAATATTGTTGCACGAGTGCTGCCTGCCAACGGACACACATACAATTGACCAAAAAATTCTTATACAAACGAGTATCGTTACTAACTATTACAGCATATTACTTTAGTAATGGGCAAAGCGGTTGGTCGCTAGGACGTGTAAAATTATTCGCTAAACATACAATTGCGAAACTCTAAATTGTTAATATTAAATAATGCGTATCCTTATCAATACCATAGGACGATGGCTGAACTATTATAAGATAATAAGTTGGCGATAATTTTACCGGGCCTCGCCACAGCTAACAAATTTCTTGGAATTTACGCAAGTCGCGATACTAAAGTAAACAAATGGAACAACAAGAGGTGAGCGTCGCATACGCGAGTGTTATATTATGAGTCAGAAGAGTAATAGAGACAGATAGGTGAGTAGGTAGGTATGTAGGTAGTAGGTAGGTAGATAGGTAGATAGGTTGGTAGGTATGTAGGTAGACTCACGGTGGTCGAGCGTCGGGCTGGTCGCGACGTAAGTGGCCCTGCTGCTGCATTCCAGGGCGATGTTGGCCGACGCATTGCCGGCGGCCGCAGCCAAACCCTGCAGGTGGTAATGCTCAAAGGACGGACCCTTGGGCGCCATGATGGCCGCGATGCTGAAGTCCGTCACCTTGTTGCTGCGCTCCCCCTTCGTCGGCATCCCGGACGACGGGGCGACACGGGCCACAGAGCAGACGTCGCGGCTCCTCGGCCTTTCAGCGGCTGCTCCCGGCTTTTGCCCCCGGGAGCTCCGCACCCGCGCACTCGTCACCCGGGCCGCAATCGCATGTATTTACCCTCGCGATGGCCCTCCTGAGCAGCTGCTGTCGTAACTCTGCAGCGAGCGCCGATGTCGATGTCGTTACCAATGCCGATGCCGATGCCGATGCCGATGCCGATGCCGATGCGAATGCGCGACTACCGCCGACTGCAAAATGACGATCGTCAGTGAGTCTTACGGAGGGAAAGTGCGCAAAACGGATCGCTAAAAAGCGCCGCGATATGTAGGGCCGTGGAGCAGCAACACACGACGCGTCTGCGCTCCCCGACTTCCCGAACTCCACTGGCCTCCTACTCCTCATCCTCCCACGATCGGCCTCCCCCCACCAAGAGCGCCTCGCCTCGGTGTACTCCCCTTCTCTCTCGCTCCCAGGCTGCCCCGCTCTCGACGTCGGGCTCGGTCGTCAGGGTCGGGGTGACGGCGATAAGGGGATGCGCGCGCACCCAAAGCCAAGAGCTCCGCCCAGCATAGACGGCGACCAGCCATAGGTCCGATCCCGTCCCTGACTGCGGGACAGTGGGTGGAGCTTCGGGACATCCGGCCGATGGGAGCACGCGGGCTTGGCCATTCGCCGGGGCGCCGGGGGCAGGACGAGGTTGCGCAGCGCCACCCCCCCCCATCCCGCAGGCGGCTTATCGAGACCGAGCCGCTGGCGCACGCTCGTGTGAGTCAGCCAGCGGCCGTCGCTGCAACGTGGATTGCTCGCCGTCTCTTCCCTCTCGCTCGCTCGATCGCGCTTTCTCTCTCTCTCTCTCTCTCTCTCTCCCCCGAACCACCCCGCCCCACCTGATCCAGAACCCCAGGCTATCGCACCGTCTACCAGTAACTTTACCCGCGTACGCGCTCGCCGAGGGGTGTGGGAAGCAAGCGGCGAACCGTCTTGCTCGCGCCGCGGCGAAAGAGATCGATCGGCGGCCCGTGCAAGCCCGTGTCGCTACCGCTGTATCTTCCTGCGGAAACTCGAAAGAGACGGAGAGAATAAAAGGGAGGGGTCGGCTGGGAGTAATGGTGGACACGCCAACGGAAGTATAAAGAATTAGTAGAACGGACAGCGGTTACGCGACGACGCGGGAGGCTGCCGAGGGGTTGACGCTGCAAGGAATGGAGAAAGTTGATCGGACAAGCGAGATGAGATTGCGTCGAGGGCCGAGGGGGGAGAGAGCCAAGAGCGAGAGTGGCGCTTAGGGTCAGCTACGATTTGGCGCGCGAGTGTCTCGAGGTTGAGTGAAGTAGAGTAGAGTTGAATAGGGGGTGGAGGATGAGCGGTTTAAGGAATGGGCGACGTATTGGAGGAAGAGAGAGAGAGAGAGAGAGAGAGAGAGAGAGAGAGAGAAAGAATTTTTTAAGAAGTAGCAAAAAGAGGCCCACTCACACAGCCTCCTGTCGTGGAAATATGAGAAAATTAAGTGGAAATTTCAAGTCGGGAAACAGTAGAGAGAGGGTTCGTATTTCAGGGATGTTGAAATGAGAACGAGGGTAAAAGAGTCGACAGCCAGATTTAGAGAGAGAGAGAGAGAGAGAGAGAGAGAGAGAGAGAGAGAGAGAGAAAGAGATAGTAGAGATGGGAGCAAATGCGTAAAGAAGAATTTGAGGAGAGGAACCATAGTGTGGAGAAAATGGAGTGAATGATAAAGGGGGAACAAGTGATGTTGGAGAGTTCGGCTGCAGCGTAAAAACTTGGTCGCTCGGGAAGCTGCGCTAACAGAGGTATTTTCGTCAATCCGTAGATTGGTAATCGGATGGTCACGGACCCATGGCCGATGGATAAGCCGCGGTATTTGGTCGAACTCCAACAATACGGCCGGCCTACATCGGGGTTAGAGTCGAGTTTGCACACACGTCCTAGAAAGATTGACAATGGAGGGGGACGAGAGATTACGATAGAGGATGATGGTGATTCTTTTTTAGCCTCGGATTACAGATGAGCTGCACTCCTTCGAAATATTAAGAAATAGATTATTCGCTTTTCTTTCGTTTAATTTTTTTCAACGGATAAATGTGCCAGCACGTCCTTCCACCCATAAAGAATGACGCTCCGCTGTCATTTCAGGATTTTGACTTTGAAATCTTTTACACTGGCATCTCTCATGCTCCCGGGCGCTATAGTAGTCTGCGTTTTGCGTCCAGGAATACGTAATAAATTATTAATGATTATTCATTAAGTGCTACATTATACAGTAGGATCGTTAAATGCGGCTTATAAAAATAAAAGATTTTTTTATTTTTAGAACGAAAGAGTCCCGATCTTTTGGTATAATGTCTTTTAGGCTCAAAGGTGTTTTGTTTCTTCAATTTTCATCGATAATGGATTTGAAACTCCAATTTGGGGAAAATAATGTAAAATCCTTAATCATTAACGAGAAGACGGAGATAACCCGGGGAAATTACGTTTGAAATTATACATCGTAGGACGTATGTATGTATTAACTGTCTATTTATCATTATTGCCTTACATTTTCTCATTATTAAACTTGATTTTAATTACGTTTGATATGTTTCGTATTCGAATCCACACCAATTGACATGACATTCGTATTACCAAGCACTGCTTAACCTTTTATCGCATTACGATGATTACGTGATTATGCGTCAGTTGGCGTTAGCGATTGAAAAATGTCTTCGCGATTCAAGTATCACCTTCGCTCCCAAAAAATACCCATACAATGAAAAGTCTTAAGACGATTTTGTAGACTATTCGAACAAATTTTCCAATCGAGCTCGACTTCCTTTGAATCGCAGCAATAAATTAACGCGTCACCACTATACATACAAATCGTACTCGGTAAAATACACATGTGTTAATCATAATATTAACGTTTCTATCGTAAATAATCGATGAATACGAGGGCGTAGGCAATAATATTTTATCCTTTAAGCTACGGGAAATCAATCACGAGCCCTTACAATACCAATGAATACGCCATCCACAATAGCAGTTTTTATCGATGAAGTATTTGCGAAGTAGGTTCGTTGTGAAAAGTCAAGCTTCAAGCCACAACGGCGACCGTCCGCATCGAGCGCTTCCCATCAAGATTGATTGCAAATAAAGAGGCTGTGACATAAGTGGGATAAATTCAAGGAGCTAACCCACTTGAGCGAACGAGCGAACGAGCGAACGGGCCTTGGCAAATGGCGCTTACGGCCGAACGCCGCATCACGTCTCATTTTCTCCACTTTGTGACTGAAAAATGATCGGGCAGTGGTAGCAATGTGCGCGGCACATCGCGTAGCGGTCCAGGGCCTTCTAAGCCTCGGCGCGGCAATCTTTCACGCTCAATTTGAGCGACCATTTGTCAAACTCCAGCGGCGCGATCCGCATCATCCGCAGCGCCTAATTCGGTGTATCGAAGAGAGGGAGATGGGGATTTTCGTGTCAGGGCCGGGCGTCCGCGTTAATTGGATTAACCGAGTGACCGGTGGAAAGCGTCGGTGGCCGATGCGCGTCCCCGAGGGGCCCCCGGACTTCCTTGGGAACCCAAATATTTTGGAGGCGGCGGCCGGTCCCACCACGACCGGAGCGTGAATAATCCATTTTACGACCTCGCCGTCGGGAAGACAGGTAGCCCCTTGGCTTTTGGGTCAGTGGCGTGAATGCGCGCACACACGCAGACACCCCTGAATAACCACCCCCGGCCACGCCAACTCCTACACACTCCAATGTTCCAGAAGGTGGGAGGTGGGGTGACAGGGGGGTACGCGTGTCCCGCTGACCCTTTCGCGGCCATAATTCAACCGAGAGTTATGGCGGCGGTAGACCGAGTGAATGAGCCTGAGAGAGAGAGAGAGAGAGAGAGAGAGAGAGAGAGTGAGTGAGTGAGAGGAGAGAGAGAGAGAGAGAGAATGAGCGAATGAATGAACGAGCGGGGGTGCGTGGAGTTGTGGCGGCGACGGATTGGGAGGGGGGAAAGTACGGGGCCCTATCGCAGCCCCGACGATTATCGTCGAGCTTTCGGCAGCTGCGGTCTCTGCGGATTATAAATTTCGCTCGGATTCACCCAGGATGGCCAACTACGGCTGGCTGTTTGTGTATTTACTGCGGGTTTTATATAAAAGGGGGGCGACCGAGAAATTATCGACCGTCGTAAAATTGATATCATCGAGTTGTAAAAGCGCTGGGCGTTCGGTAAGCGAGTGGCCAATCGTCTTCTGACTTGCCGACCTGGCCGCTCCTTCGCAATCTTCACGTCCGATTGGCGAGTGTTATGATCTACCGGATTGAATGCGAAAACGAACCTGGGAACGTGGCTAATTGGAGATAAAATAAAAATTATAAAAATAAATAGAGAGGGTCTCCAGGATTCTCGGTCCCGTTTTTTATTGCACTTATTAATCGACGTGTTTCGCAAAAACCAATTGCCTCCCCCCTTTTTCTCCGTTGCTGCAAATCCGAAATTAACACAATGTGGAAATGTCAAACTGGCTTCGCTCGCTCGCTCGCTCCTATACAGCCATACGTAATATTCTTGTATATCGTTAAGACGAGTCGTAATAATATTACTCGTCCTTAATTTGAGTCGGTCCGTTGCTTGCAAATAGATTTGTAAACGCGCGTACGCAAGCAGTGAGTGAAATTATTGCATTGGACTATGTGAGTTACACAAGAGTGTGCGTGAAAATAAATTAAAGTCAAGTACGCGTTTGTATAAACATTTCGCATAATGAAGAATCAATTCAGTCGCCTGTAAGAATAAATGATCGAATGCTCAGCATCGGCAGCCAAGCCTTTCAAAATCTCAAGACATATTTCATAATAATTTTACATCGCTAGGCCGTATCGATACTTCTTAGAAAGCCGTCTATTTTCTGTTATCATTCAAGATTAAGTGCTCAGAGACCAAAAAAGCATTGGTATTTCAATAGCAGAGTGAGCAACTAGGACAATATATATATATATATATATATATATATATAGAATAAAACACAAATACAAAAGAAGCTTAGATCCTAGCACAGGATTTCTAGTGGATAGACAAGTGGATGCGTCATCGCCACGTCCGTTTCGTACGAAATAAAAAGTAGTCGGTAAATGCTTTGAGTCTGTCGTCGAATTTTGACTGAATTTCAACGCAATACTTTTACGATGACTGCCAACTTTACAAATGAAATAGTT